GCCTGGGACCACGCCGGCGTGCACGACGAGGACCTCCTCTCGCTCGAGGCGGAGCGTGTGCGGCAGCTCTCGCAAGAAGGCCAGATCCGCCTCGCCGAGCGCGTCGACCCAAGCGTACTTGAGCTCGCTGTACTTCGAGTCGCTGCCTCGAGCGCCGGCCTCGCTCCTCGCCTCGTGGGCAAAGAGGGCCGCATCGTCGTGGTTGCCGCGGACGCAGGCGAAGCCGCTCTCGCGCGCATAGGCGACAGTCTCGGCTGAATGCGGGCCCTTGTTGACGAGATCGCCGACCAGGACGACATGATCGGTGCTGGCATCGAAGCCGCACGCCTGGAGGAGCGACTTGAGCTCATCAAGGCAGCCGTGGACATCGCCCACGAGGATCGTTCGCGAGCCTTCTCGCGTCACAAGCACGCGGTGGCTCTCTGGAGGCACGTGGCAGCGGCGGGGAGGCGATCTGCGAGCGGGCACCGCCGAGGCGAGGCACGCGGCGCCGCAGAGGAGACGCCGCAGGGCACCGTGGCATTTTCTGGATGTTGTCGCAGCGGCCATCTCACTTGGCGAGGGCGCAGCGGAGGAGGCGGCGAGGCGGCGCGAGCGGCGCGAGCGGCGCGGCGAGGGGACCTCTGTATGTATGTATATCGCGAAGAAAAGAAAAACGACCCAGAATTCCCGCATAGGATCCGTCGGGCTCTCGCATCTCGGGCGCCCAACATTACAGCCCGCGGACTTGACAAGCCTGTGGACCATGCGTGAATATCTTGAGATGGGAAAGTTTAGCGCGCCGAGGCGCCGCAGCGGCGCGATATTACGTCCCATTTGGGACGGTGTGAACTCGCCTGTCTGGCGCCATGGCTCGTCCATCATTGAGAGGTCTGCCCCTCGCTGGGTGTCACTCTAAAGAAGGCGATGCGCCGGCACAGGTGCGAGAGTCTCGCCCCTGCGCGCCTCGGCCAGCCCACGGCGGATGGATCGCAATCACGTGCTCATGTGCTCGGCGAGGGGGCGCCGATCCAACTCGGCAGGGGGTTCGGCGACGCGCTCGACGGATGACGCGTCAAGTGCGCCCGTGGTGCTCCTGGCGGCGTCTGCCGACGCGGGCTCGATCTTTGGAGCGTCGAAGCGCGAGTAGAGAAACTCGGTGGGCTTCCGGGTTCCGGCCTCTGCACTTGGAGCACTTGGAGTGCAGTCATCAACCTCACATCCAGGGCCGGGGAGCTAAGAAGCGCACCCAGCGGGCCGGATGATCGATATCGGGTTACGGCCAGAGAGCCCTAGCCCTGGGGGGGGTGCGCGTTCGCAGGGAAAGGGCCGTAAAGTAAAGGGCCGTAAAGTAAACATAGGTCTCCGAGGGTTGGTTCTGCGCTTTGGGTGTCCCCTCTAGCGGCGGAACGCCCCCTCTACTCGGAGCTAGTAAACACCAGACACGAGTGTACCATATTTTCTTTCACTTTTTCTACTCGGAGCCAGTGATACGAGAGAGAGATTTTTAGCAATGTGTTTGTTGTGTTTGTGATACGAGAATACGCACATGTTACGAGAATACACACCGCCCCCACGGAATACCTGTACTACTCGACGATAATACAAGAATGCGCAGTTTGGAAGTTGCAGACGCCTATAAAGAAAAACAGCAAGCTAAATTTCGGCGGCTAAAAAGCAAAGGACGGGCGCTTTTGAAAGTACAATGTCTACCACAAAGCACCACTAGCGATTTCGCGCGGAGGGCGTAGTGAAGCGCTGGGGCGCTCACT